TGGGGTGCAAGAGGAGGCAGGGGTCCAGACCAGGGTGTCTGGGGCAAGGGCAAATGACACAGGATGTCCTCCTGGGATGAGCAGCCAGAGCAGCTTTGCAGTTCACTCAAGGTATTCAATGGTTTCACTGTGTTTCTGTGCCAAGGGGATGGAGCTCCTGGATTCAGGTGGGCAGAGGGGGACACTCACCTGTGAGAGAAGATGATGAGTGGAGATGGTGCAGACTCAGGGGGGCTCCAAGGAAGGTGGCCACTAAGCAATGATCATCCATTCTCCCCCACCCCACAAGAACCGGAGGGCACTGAATGAAACTGAAAGCAAAGGGAGGCTCTGTTTTGTATAAATCACAATTAAACTGCAGAGCCTGTGGGATATTTTCATAGTTAGGCTTTCACATGAGTCCCAGGAGGATTTCATAAATCTGTGGAAGCAAAGAGGTCTGTGAAATATTATTAAATACCATTTCTGGCATAGAATCAGCAGAAGTTCTGGGAAAGCAGAGCAGGAAAGTACTGGTACCTTTTTTGCTTTTCTTTGTGGTTACTTATTGCTGGTCACTGTTGGAGACAAGATATTGACTCAACTGGACCCTTGGTCTGAGTATGTATGTTCAGGGTTCTTTTTTCATTTTTCTATTTAAGCATATGTTGTTTCTATCTATTCAGGTTGGAGAGACAAGCTTGAAAAACAGGTCAAGACTCATGAAAATTCACTGTGGTAGTTCCCTGCTTTTTATCCAGGTTGATGACAATGTTAAGGTTCTGGCTTGTTAGAGTGTTTGTGTTCACTTTTCCTGAGCCTTACTGTGTCCACTGGAGTCCATGCCCAGATTTCAGGAGCACAGTGGAGGAGACTTCCTTACCACCTGCCTTTTACTTGATATTTCTATCGATTCCCACCTACACAGTGATATTCTCCCTTTTTTCACCTTGGGTTATTGAAACTGCTGATTTTTCTGTAGCCTATGGTAGAGGAGTTTTCAGTATTTTAACAGTGGTGATGTTCCAGAAGTGCACAACAGCCTCTCCTGATACAGAGGCACATGAAGAAGAGAGACTCAAACCATCAGACTTTGCAGGGTGGTTAAAACCTCCCCTTACACAAGTTTGGAAACAGCACATCAGTCAAAATGGAAACATGCCATGGGAGTTTCTCCTTTGGAAATTTTAGTTGTTAATTCTTGCTGGAGAGGAAGAACACCCAAAAGCATATGCCTTGCTGCATTAGCAGCACCAGAGTATGGCAGAACAACCCAATCGTGAAGGACCATCTGCCAGGCACCCTCAGCACTGCTCAGAAGCTGCTCCAAGAAAAATCATCACATAGAGAAAATAAATCAGACCAGCACAAAACCAAAGGCTTTCTGAGTAAGCATCCTATGCCAGTAGGGATGCATGCCAAAGCATCCATGAGAAAAAAAATAAATAAAACAAAACAAGAAAAAAAACCCCAAATAAACCAAACTGCAGTCACTCCCAAAAATAGGCAAGATAGTAAAACCCTGACAAAGCATAGAAGTCTTTTTTTCTTGCAGACCAGCACATCTGGCAGACTGAAGTCTGGGTGGACAAGGCATGTAGAAGAGAGCCCCAGGGGCTTGACAGGAAGTTCAACACTTGCTGCTGGGCTCTGATGCAGCAAAATAAGGTTTTAAGCTATACTGTGATGGAAAGACAATTTGGTGCCAGGAGCAAAAGGCCGCACCACCTCAATTCCTGGCCCCAGAAAAGTGTGTGGCTTTTAGGTAGCACGACAGCCAGGAGGGAAATAAAGCACAACACAGGCTCAGCCCTGCCAGGCAGCTGAAGTTCAAGTTATTTCCACATTACAAAATGCCTTAGGGGACATGCAATTTTTCCACTTAAGGTTAGAAAAAGGATAACAGAGATCCTACTGGTCTCTTGGCAATTTTCCTCCTCAGCAAATCAGAAGCAGTTCCTTGTTCAATGTTGTTCAATGGCTGTGCATTTTCAGGAAATGTACTGCATTTCTTCAGCAGGAATCCTGCTTTGTGCACTCTCCTGACAGTCACACCTGCACTGAGACACACAAAACAATGTCAGCCTGTTAAAAACCATCAGCAAATAAGTAATCTCAAGGTATTTTTTCATATCAGGATTTGTTTCTGTGTGTATTTGCACTTTTAAAGAATTTATTATTATTGTACTGGAGCAATCAGTGTCTGAGACTAGCCTCTGATGACTGTCACTGACACTCCACTTGAATATCCTATTTTTCATCCCAGATGTGTAAAGAGAATAATCACATCCTTCTTGGTCTTTTTCTGATGCATTTAGCAAGGTGAATGAAGTTTGGTCCTGTAAGAGAAATTTTTCATCCCCATTTTCTCCACAAGCTGGTGCCCAGATGGTCATAGTGACCCAAGCATGAAAAAGTTGCTGATGACTCTGAGCTCACTTCTGTTGGATTGTCCATAGATGGGGTTAGGCAAAAAGACCTGGTTTTATTAATTGCCTGGCTACAGCTTTTTTATATCTTTTATGAAGATGGAATTTGCCCTTTTTATGCTTCTGGAGGACCAATAGTTTCCACTCTAAGCTGCTGTTTTCATTTGCTTTGCATTTACCAAACTCCAGCATGTTCAGTTTCACATTTTCCACACTTGTAGTCTGCTCTAGGCTGGATTTTTTTTCTCCATCTCAGGAAATAGGGATCATTTGTTTCCAAGAACACGCCTGTGGAAAATTAGTTGTTAATGTTAACCACATCCATCTGTTCCTTTGAAGAGATTTGCCACCTGCTTGCAGTGGAAAGGAATAAGAAATTTGGCAATGAGAAACTCTAGGGAGACAGTTTTCTGCTGTCCCCATGAAAACCTACCCACACTGAGTTCCCTATAAATGTCAGGAAAACACCAACTTCGCATGGCACCCACTAGCACACGTCTGGCTGTTCCAGGAGAACAGACCTGCTCCTGGCATGGAGGGAAAGAAAGGCCTGGGATGCATCACCCCAAGGACCATGCACAACAGCAGCAGTCCATCTCCTCCTGTCTTATTGCCTGTGTCTTTGGCTGATTCAGTCCAGAACAAAGTCCTGAAGATGACAAGGGTTTTCTGGAACTTTGTTTTAAGGTGAAGAATTCATCTGACCTTTTAAATAAAAATGCCTACATGATACACAACTACGAATACAGAGGAAAAGATGTTTCAGAGTAAAGAAGTCAATATATTGTATAATACACTTAATCCCTACAGAAATTTTCTCTCAGGGGATTTTACCATGAAATACTGACACTGGGATGGCTGGCACGCAGTCATCTCCTCGTGCTGGCATGGGAGAATCAATAACAGTGGATTTACACCTGACTGGCATTTTGCAGTTAGATTTTCATGTCCTGCTACAACCTGTAGCACTAACAAGTACAACCAGAGTGCAACGCAGACACACCATAAAGCAAGTAAAATATATGGACAGACATTTGAACTCTTGGTAAGCTGTAGTGTATGTTAATACATGGGTAAAAGTGGCAGGTACAACAAAGGCATCCCAGCACCAAAGTTTTCACCTAATTACTTGTCCATTCAAGGTGCAGACAGAACACTGATTATAGACCGACATCAGCTCGTGTTGAGATGAACCAGGGGATGCATCTCAGCTGCTTCCACCCTGCCAGGCTTCATCCTGCACTCACCTGGTCCATGCTTGCTAAACCCAAGCACTGTGGGCAGTTTTGATCACTCCTATGTGAGAAAGGAGTCGGTCTGCTGCGTAATATGTACCCAAGTTTTCATCTCCCCACTAACTTGCTCTGCTTTCATGTATTTGTGAAAGAACCAGACAAAAAGTATCAAGGATAGTCTGCACAGGGATGCAGTAGAGAGCAGATGTAACAACAACAACAACTAAAAAACCCAAAAAAAGCAGGGTCTGGGGGGGAAAATAAGGAAATTTTAAAACAGGTTATTTACCATGGAGTATTTCCCCATTTTTGCATGTGACATCACAAACTCCAACCCCCAACCTTTGCCCTCGGAGCCCTGACCTTTGACCCTTGACCCCCTGACCCTGACCCTTAACCTTTACCCCTTACCCCTGGCTCTGGACCCTGGACCCTAACCTGGTCCCTAACTACTCTGCCCTGTCTGTACCCAGCCCTACTGCTGGGTCCTGTAACCCCAAACTCCTGGTGTGTAACCCTCAGCCCCAACCCCTGCCCATCTTTAGGAGCACTGCGACTTTCTACTGCTGGTTTTTATTTTAAACCAGAGAGAAAAATTACAATCCCATTTAAACACAGAAGAGCAGAGGAAAGAAACTAAGTCTCTGCAAATAAAGCAAATAAACCCAGAAAGGTTCTAAATACACCCAAAAAATGTGATTAAAACCAAATAAGTTTAGATTATTATTAGATTATTATTACTGGATTTTAGGTTAGTGCCAAAAGCTTCTTGTTCAGGTGTGTCTCTTGAAAGGAGGGAAATGGGTGGATGTCTGGGAACTGAGTGAGCTTTCTGATAGAATGTGGTATTAGGTCATGTTTCATACCAGCCCAAAGCTGCAAGATTCATTAAGATTAAAGTAAAATTTCTTATATGAAAACTTTATCTAACCACTGATTTAACTGTTAAAAAGTACCATTGTCTATGATAAAAGAAAGTTTTTACACCTGTGGTCTGGATTTTCTGTTACTCATGAAAACCGGAACACATCCTACAATTGTGCTATACAGAGTACTAGCAGAAACAATTACTCATTACCTTCATTCAGATTTAGGACAAAGATCAAAGTCTGCTATAAGAGTTTTGATGTAGTAGACTTTGGCTACTTTTTTTCAGTTTTGCTCACCTGACACCTGACATCCCAGCTGAAATCATTGTATTTCAAAAGTAGCTGCACAACTTCAGGTTTTACCAAGCCAGTGAACTCTAAATTTAGATGTTATGCACTCAATATGCACTCAAGCAGATGAGTGCTTGCATCTGAGCAGTCTAAATGACTTGAAAATAAAGTCATA